TCCGAATCATCATCCTCAGCGTCATCCACCTGCTAAACCACTGTTCCCTATCAATATACACCCCCACCCCCAGGCGACTTGGAGCCAACCAGGGACAATGAGCCCCCCCCCCCCATCCCTTGTGAAAAACAATACAAAACACACTGTGCCTCAAAATTCAGAGCATGCGCAGCGAACCCGACGCGGTCTCCCCCCACCATCCCTGTCAAAAAACAATACAGAATACACTTGGCGGCGCCGGCGGCTGCGGCGACTGCGGCGGGGGCAGCGGCTGCGGCGGCTGCGGCGGTGGCGGCGGCGGTGGCGGCGGCGGCGGCGGTGGCGGCGGCGGCGGCAGCGGCGGCGGCGGCGGCGCGGCGGCGGCGGCGGGCGGCGGCGGATTCGCCCCCCAGTAGCTGCCCATCCAAAGACGACTGCTGAATATGCTGCGGCTCGGGACAGGCTCGGGTGCTACGTATGTGTTGGAAGTGCGGGTGGGAGTGAGCGAGACGGCTTGCAGGCGGAGAGGGAATCTTGTCCCCACCCTCACCCTCACCCGCATCCTCACCCGCATCCTCATCTTCACCCTCATCGTCTTCCTCATCCCCATCCTCATCTCGATCCACGTCCTCGTCCTCATCCTCATCCGCATCTTCATCACCGTCCTCATCCAAATCCTGAGCATCACCCTCACCATAATCCTCATCAGCATCATCATCCCCATCCCCATCCTAATCCTCATCCTCAACCACATCATCATCCTCATCCGCATCCACATCCTTATCCCCACCAACCTGCTCATCCTCATCCTCATCCTCTCCCTTATCCTCATCCTCATTCTCACCCTCATCCCAATCCCTACCCTCATCGTCATCCTCACCCACATCCTCACCCTCATCCGCATCATCATCCTCCTCATCCACATCCTGATCCCCTTCCCCACCCGCATCTTCATCCTCACCCGCATCCTCATCCCCATCCTCGTCCACATTCTCATCCTCACGCTCAACCTCGTCCTCATCCTAATCCCTACCCTCATCTGCATCCTCACCCACATCCTCACCCTCATCTTCATCCTCATCACCATCCTCATCCTCACCCCCATCCTCATCCCCCTCCCACCCGCATCCTCATCCTCATCCTCATCCACATGCTCATCCTCGCCCTCAGCCTCGCTCTGATCCTCATCCTCATCCCCTACCCTTACCATCCTCACCCTCATCCTAACCCTGAACTTCATCCTCCACCTCACCCACATACGCATCCTGATCCTCATCCTCTCCCTCACCCTCACCCTCATCCTAATCCCTACCCTCACCACCATCCTCACCCACATCCTCACCCTCATCCTCATCCACATCCTCATCCTCATCCCCATCCTCATCCCCCTACCCACCCTCATCTTCATCATGACCCGTATCCTCATCCCCATCCACATGCTCATCCTCACCCATCACCCTCATCATCATCATCATCAGCATCATCATCATCATCAGCATCATCATCATCATCAGCATCATCATCATCCTCATTATCATCCCTATCATCATCATCATCATCATCAGCAGCATCAGCATCATCATCATCAGCATCATCATCATCAGCATCATCATATTCCCCATCCCCAACCCCATCCTCATCCCCATCCTCATCCCATATCACCGCCCTCATCCGCATCCTGATCCCACTTCCTCGTCAACATCCTGATCCTCATCCACATGCTCATCCTCACCTCACCCTCACCCTCATCATCCTCCTCATCCCCATTCTCATCTCGATCCCCGTCTTCGTCCTCATCCTCATCCGCATCCTCGTCCTCATCCTCGCCTCCATCCTTTCCCTCAGTCTCACACTCACCCTCATCCGCATCCTCACCCTCGTCCCCATCAGCATGCTCATCCTCACCCTCACCCTAACCCGCATCCTCATCCTCATCATCACCCACATACTCATGCTCATCTCGATCCTGTCCCTCACCCTCATCCTAACCCTCACCCTCATCCTAATCCCTACCCTCATCCTCATTATCATCCACATCCGCATCCGCATCCTCATCCTCATCAACATCCTCATCCTCATCCCCTTCCACACCCTCATCTTCATCCTCATCCGCATCCTCATCCACATGCTCATCATCACCCTCACCCTCATCCTCATCCTAATCCCCATCCCTGACCCCATCCTCGTCCTCATCCTCATCCTCCTCCGCAACCCCATCCCCACCCCCATCCTCACCCACATCCTCATCAGCATCCTCATCCTCACCAACATGCTCATCCTCACCCTCACCCTCACCCTCATGCACATCCTCATTCTCATCCTCATTGACATCCTCATGTCGATCCCCGTCATCGTCCTCATCCTCATCCGCATCCTCATCCTCACCCTCGTCCCCATCCTATTCCTCATCTTCACCATGATCCGCATTATCATCCTCATCCCCGTCATAGTCCCCATCTTGATGCTCATCCGCATCCTCATTTTCACCCTCATCCCCACCCCCATCCTCACCCTCATCATCACCCCCATCCTCACCCTCTTCACTCTCGCCCTCATCCTAATCCCTACCCTCATCTTCATCCTCACCCATATCCTCATCCTCATCCTCATCCCCATCCACCTCCCCTTCCCCACCCTCCTCTTCATCCTCACCCGCATGCTCATCCGCATCCTCATCCACATGCTCATCCTCGCCCTCACCCTAATCCTCATCCTCATCATTTTCATCATTCTCATCCCCATCCTCGTCCGAATCCTCATCCTCAACCCCATCCCCGCCCGCATCGTCATCCTCATCCACTTCCTCATCATCATCCTCATCCTCGTCCACATGCTCATCCTCACCCTCACCCTGACCCTCATCCTCATCCTCATTCAAATCTTCGTTACCATCCTCATCTCGATCCTCGTCGTCGTCCTCATCAGCATCCTCATCCTCATCCTCGGCCCCATCCTAATCCTCATCCTCACCCCCATCCTCATCCTCATCCTCATCCCAATCCTAATCCCCATTCTCACCACCATCCGCATCCGCATCCTCCTCCTCCTCACCCACATACGCATCCTCTCCCTCACCATCATCCTAATCCCTACCCTCATCTTCATCCTCACCCACACCCTCACCCTCATCCTCATCCACTTCCTCATCCTCATCCACATCCTCATCCCCTTCCCCACCCTCATCTTCATCCTCACCCGTATCTTTATCCTCATCCTCAGCCACATGCTCATCCTCACCCTCATCCTAATCCTCATTCTAATCCTCGCCCGAATCCTCATCCCCAACCCCGGCCACCATCATCATCTTCATACCTAAATCAGCATCATCATCATCATCATCATCAGCAGCAGCATCATCATCATCACCATCACCATCACCATCATCATCATCATCATCATCATCATCATCATCATCATCATAATCATCATCATCAGCATCATCGTCGTCGTCGCCATCCTCATCTTCATCCTCATCATCATCCTCCTCCTTCTCCTCCCCCTCATCCTAATCATCATCGTCATCGTCATCGTCATCACTATCGTCATCGTCATCAGCATCGTAATCGTCATCGTCATCGTCATTGTCATCATCATCATGATCATGATCATGATCATCATCATCATCAGCATTATCATCATCACCAACACCATCAGAGTCTTCATCATAATCAACATCATCACCATCACCATCACCACCACTATCATCACCATCACCATCACGATCGCCATCCCCATCACAATCATCATCAAAGAGTAGAATCGTCATCAGCGTCATAGCCGAATCATCACACCCACAATCGTCACCATCATCATCATCAACAACATCATCATCCCCACCGTAATCCCATAATCCCCATCATCTTCGCCTTCACTGTGGCAATCGTCATTGTCGTCCTCATCGTCCCTCTCCTGCTCTTTGTTACTCGCTCCTCCTCGTACTCGCTCATGGTCCCACTTGTGATCACTTGTGATACCCAAAGAAAGCCAACACCATCCGACCGACTGTGATCACTTGTGTGATCACTTGTGATATATTGTGATGTCACTTGTGATCACTTGTGATCCGACCGACTGCCCTCATGCCACGAATCCATCAGACAAAGGGGGGGCGGGGGCCGAAACCCTGTAGAGGGGCTCTGATGCCTTGCCAGGGGAATTCGTACTTTGACTTTCTAGTAACTGGGTATTCCTGACGCCGAACCATCCTCTGAGGCTGAAGTCACCTGGAAATCGCTAGTTTTGATTGTCTTGCCTTTCGGCTTGTGATATGCATGAAGGGCTCTCACGTGGCAGCAAGCTGACCCTAAAACAAGGCACTCAAGACCCCGCAAAGGACCTCGAGAAGATCCCAAGGGTGCCTCTATCAAGGAGAATGGGGCAAGCACAGGGAAGCAGTGCAGCCCATCTGTGCGTGGAGCCAGAACGGTTACATACGGGAGCGGAGAAGAGGGGATGCATGTCAGATTCGATGAGACCTGGGTCATCAAACTTGGCGCTGTCGCGCGAGCGCGTCGGAGAATGGCAATTCCCCGGTCCAGCCCGCAATGCGCGGCTATCCCCACGCTCTCGCGCGGCCATCCACGAGAAGGCGGCACACACCGCGAAGCGCGAGGTGCAGCTATCTTCGCACCCCTGCGGGTAAATCCGTTAGACTGGCTTGACGATTCGAGCATCTCTGCCGTGAGACACGGAGAAGCGTCGAAGGTGCGCCCCTGCGGGTGACCTGGTGGGATTGAATTGACAGTTTGGGTGTCTCTGTCTAGAGCCGCGGACGTGCGTCGACGTTGCCACGGTGAAACCGCATGATCAGTGAAATAAATGGAATTATGTCACCATGCCCTGCCAGGAGCGGTTCGTGTTGGAACTTCTGCATTCCAACAGAGGGCGAAGAGAAGGAGAAAGCGGATGACGACAGCCACGACGACGCTGGAGGAAAGTAGAGACAGGAACGGGGCGGAAGGATCAAGGGGAGAAATAAGGAGCGAGGACAAAGGAAAGGGGAAGCGAAGCCGAAGCGACGCCTTGGCAATGTATAATCTAATCCGGAGCTCCTTAGGCGCCAACTTCTTCGCCCTCTCGTAGAGGGCGATCGCCTGCGTAGCGCTGGGCGCCCGAGCGGTCAGGGTGCGGCTGCTGCTGCCGCCGCCGCTGGTGGCATCAACGCGGCGCTTGCTGAACAAGCCTGTCCCGACGCTCGGAAACCTCGCGCGCTTCCGCCCAGCTGTCTTCGCTCGTTCGCTCCGTCCCTCTCTTCCTCACGCCCCAGCCTCGTCTTCCCACGCGTCCCTCCTGCGCCCTCCTCGTTCTCCTCCTGCTCCTCCTCTCCCCCTCGTCATCCTGATGCCACTCCCCCTCTTCCATCTCGCCCTCTCCCTCCTCATCCACTGTCCGACAAGATTCGCCACCTCTCCTCTTCGAGTGACTAGCTTGTGGCAGGCAGCACGCCAACATATCTGGTCACTGGGAATCGCGTGGCGACCGGCGTGGAGGAGCGTGGCAACGAGCCAACTACGGCTGGACCTAGGACATAATAACATTCAACAACATGAAACCCTCCGCTGGCCAAACCACACAGAACATCCAAGGGTACCCTCCCTGGGATGCAAAGAACATCCAACAGACACGTAGAATATTAGGGTACCCTCCCCGAACCGACCTCTATATCGTACCTCGGTCCGAGTGCACAGATCCACCCACTCGCTCGCAAGACGAAGCGTGCCGACATCGCCGAGGGCCAGCCAGCACCCTGCCACCAGAGTGAGTGGCTAAGAGCACCGACAAACTCCCGACAGAAACAGGCGCCCCTCTGCCGCCTCCTTCTCCGCCCCTCCCCCACACCTCCTCCTCCTCCTCCTCCTCCTCCTTCTCCTCCTGCTCCTGCTCCTCCTCCTCCTCCGCCTCCTCCTCCTCCTCTCCCTCCCGCCCCCTATCCCCTCTGCAAGACGAAGCCAGGACGAGGATCAGATCGGGTGGGGATACATCGAGAACCTCTGAGATCTGGTGGCTCTGGAGGATGTCGCGGGCACCGCGGCCTTCTCACAGCGTTCCGGAACGCTCTGAGAGCGTTCTGGAACGCTCTGGAACGGAGGGGCGCCCCGCCCGACTCGGGGAGCACCCGCACGCCTTTCTGTAGCCATCTCTACAAACAGACCCAGGACAGAAGAACATCCTTCAAGAACATGAAACCCTCCGCCGGCCAAACCACACAGAGCATCCAAGGGTACCCTCCCCAGGATGCACAAGAGCATCCAGCAAGCACGAAGACCATCAATGTACCCTCCCCGAACCGACCCCGACGTTGTACCTCGGGCCGACCGTGCTGCATGCAAAGAGCAGGCCATCCCCTTGGAGAGACGAGAGGGGTGGACGACGACGAGGAGGATGAGGGGCGAGAAGGAAGACGAGTCAGATGCGGTGGCCCTAGCAACCCTCGGACGGCACAGCGCAGGGGGAGGAGGTCCAGGCGGAGGCGCCAACGCGCTCCTCACCTACGCCAGGAAGGCCCCCGTTTTCGCCTCTCTCTCTCTCTCTTCATGCGGCGCTCGATCGGAACTCGAAACGCCGCCCGCGACCTTCGCTCTCCTCGGCTGAAGCGTCAGAAACGTCCGGGGGGCAGGTGGAGGGGAGGGGGGATGAGGAACGACGAGGACAAGGATGACGCGGAGGAGCAGGATGAGAGCGAGCAGCAGCAGGAACAGGAGCAGCGAGCAACCAAGGGGCAAAAAGGAGGAGGCACACATAGAAGAAGGGAGGGCGGGGGGCGGACAGGGGGAGGAGGAGGAGGAGGAGGAGGAGTGACGAGGGGGAGAGAACAAAGGTGGGTGGGCGGGATGGGTGCGACATGGAGGAATGGATGGATATCCGCAGGGGGCCAGGGGAGAGATGAGAGAGGGCACTGTGATCGAGAGGGAAGGGAGAGGAATAGCAAAATCAATAGAGGAAATGAGATGGACAACAAGGCCAGGGTGAGGGGGAGGGAGAAGGGCGGAAGTGAGGAGGACTGCGTATATATAGAAAAGTTGCTGAACAGAGAGGAGGCAAGGTAGAGAGGAAGATAGAGTTAGGTGGAGAGAGAGAGAGAGAGAAGGAGAGAGAAGGAGAAAGTGAGAGAGAGAAGGAAAGAGAGGGAGAGAGAGAGACCCAGACCTAGCCTCCGACGTCGCGACTTTTCCGCCACCTGAAACTATGCCGAGACCAGTGTCTCCATGTGGCCAGTGTTTTGCTGGCCACAGGGCCTTGACACTGTCCCTCGGGGGCCGGGTGAACGTTTTCTTATTCGGCGTTTCGACATTGGGCGGAGGGGGGGGGAGGGGGGGGGTCTGGCTCCGGACCTCTGCTTCGTGAGACTGTTTGGAGTATTGCTCCAACTAGAAATCCTATGGGGAGCCGTCCACCTGCTTGAAACACGCGCCGAAAACAGCCAAGATCTTCTCTTGGTGGGGGGGAGGGGGGGTTCGAGGGGCCCCGCCGATCGGCAAAACAATGAATCAGAACACGATCACTGGGCCGACGAAAACATGTTTCTGTCAGCGGCGAGGCGGCGAACTCCGCTCCAGCGAGAAGCTAGAAAGGGGCACTAGCCAGAGAATTGGCGGGCGGGCAAAGAGGGGGCGGACGGCCGAGAGGAAGAAGGGGCGCTCAGACGTCGAAGAGTTCGACAATGAGCAGCCGGGGGGGGGGCAGCAGCAGCCAGATGCGCAGGGCCAGAGCGCGGTGGGCGGCCGTGGCAAACCACGGTGGCAAGGGTGGCGGGAGGGCGGCTGCCAGCAGCTGGAGCAAGCGGGCGCAGTGGGACACCACGAACGGCACAGAAGTACCGCGGCGCACCGAGGAGTAGGCAGGCCGACGAAAACACGCCAGTCGCAATTTTGTTTCACGCTCCATTTCCTCCTCCTCCTCCTCCTCCTCCTCCTCCTCCTGTCTTCCTCCTCATCCTCTTCTACCCCCTCCTCCTCCTCCTCCTCCTCCTCCTCCTCCTCCTCCTCCTCCCTCCCGGAGTCCCTCCGACTGAAACTCCGTCCCTCCCTCCGTCCATCCCTCCGCCTCGACCTCTGCCCCTCCCTCCGTCCACCCATCCCTCCCTCCTCTTCCCTTCGCCCTCCTACCAGCTCCTCCTCCGCCTCCTCCTCCTCCTCCTCCTCCTCCTCATCATCATCATCATCATCATCAACATTCTCACCACCACCACCACAATCACCATCACCATCAGCATCACCACAGACACCATCACCATCACCATCACCATCACCGTCCCAATCACCATCGTCATCATCATCATCATCATCATCATCATCATCATCATCATCACCATCATTATCATCATCATCATCATCATCATCATCATCATCATCATCATCACCATAATCATCGGCATCCTCATCCTCATCCTCATTGTCATCATCATCCTCATCCTCCTCCTCCTTTTCTTCCTCTTCTCGTCATCATCATACCATCATCATCAGAACCATCATCATCATCAGCATCAGCATCATCATGATTAACATTATCAGCATGGTCATCATAATCCTCACCATCACCTCATCATCAGCATCATCACCAGTATCAGCATCATCAGCAACATGGCCATGGTCACTGTCCAAACCATGATCAAGATCAGCATGCAGGTAATATTCAACAACAACAACCACAACAACAACAGGCACAACAACAACAACAGCATCACCATCATGACCCTCCCCATAGCAATAATCATAATCATCCTCATCCTCATCCTCAGCATCAGCATCGTCATCACCACCACCATCACCATCACCATCACCATCATCCTCATCCTCATCCTCATCATCATCAGCATCATCATCATCATCATCATCATCATTATCATCCACATCACCATCATCATCACCATCATCACCACTACCATCATCATAATATTATCCAGCAGCGTGGCCATGGTATTGGCCATTGCCATAATCATGGCCAGGTTCATGATCATCACCAGCATCACCAACAATAGACCACCATAGTCACCACCATCACCATCACCATCGCCACCATCACCATCAGCAGCATCGTCACCATGATGTTCACTCTACGACTCAGCATCAGCAGCAGCATCATCACCAGCATGATCGTCATCATGAAGCATCGTCATCATCAGTATCATCATCACCATTGGCATCATCATCAACCTCATCATCGTCATCATCATTACCATCACAACCATCATCAACAGTTTCTCCAAGAGTATGGCCATGGTAAGGATCCTGGCCGTCATCATGGCAATGGTCATTATCATGATCATAAGCATCAGCAGCACCATCAACATCATCATTACCATCATAGTCACGAACATCCACATCACCATCATCATCATCGTCAGTATCCTCATCAGCAACAGCATCGTCATCATCATCATATTCATCCTACGAATCATCATCAGCAGCAGGAGCAGCAGCAACATCATCATCATCATCATCATCATCATCATCATCATCATCATCATCGTCGACATCATCATTATCACTATCAGCATCTTCATCATCTTCATCGTCATCGTCAGCATCATCAGCAGCAGCAACACCATTAGCATCAACACCATCATGAGCATAATAGCCAGCAGCAGCAACAACATCATTAGCATCAAAATCGTTATGACCCTCATCATCATCACCACCGTCATCCTCATCCTCATCCTTATCCTCACCATCATCATCATCATCATCATCATCATCATCATCACCCTGATCAGAATCAACGCCATCCGTCCGCAAACCATTCGTCGACTCGATGTGTTCCGAGTCGTCTGCCCCTGAGTAGACGTCTGACTGAACAGGCTCTGAGCGGTCAAAGTAGTGAAATCTGATCTGGGGCGTGACTTGTTGGGGTCGCCAAGAGGTCTGGACCCTCCTTCTCCGCATCCTTTTCTTCCTCTTCCTCTTCCTCTCTGTCTTTCGCTTTCTCTTTATCTTTCTCTGCCTCCTTCTCTGTCTGTTTCTGTCTCTGCCTCCTTCTCTTTCTCTGTATCGGTCACTTCCTCGTTCTCTTTCTCTTTCTCCTTATCCTTCTCTTCCTCTTCCTCCTCATTATCCTCCTCCTCCTCCTCCTCCTCCTACTACTCCTCCTCCTCCTCCTCCTCCTCCTCTTCCCTCGTGTGGAAAAGGGGGCCTTCCGCGCATCGTCACCGCCCTTTCGTAAATACGTGTGGCCCAGGTTGATATAGACCGACGGGTCGCTCGCCTGCGGGGGAGGCACCCTCACCCACTCCCACGCCCTTCCTCCTCATGCGTCTCCAGGTGCCAGAAACAGTGAAGAACACATAGGTCACGCAACTTCGCGAATCGCGGCTGGCGATGTCCGATTATCTTCGCGCCGTCGCGCAGCCTCCCGTGAGAACGTCGCCTCTGTAACCCAAGCTGCGATGCGCGAAGCGCGATTCTCCTGACGCCTCTGGGGGGCTGACAACACTCGCGCAAAACATTTGGTCTGAACACCCCCTTCTCCCGAATGCCAGTGGCTTCGGAAATTACGATGGTGGGCGCCTGAGCGGTCCTGCGTAAACATGCTGAGTAATTATGACTTTGGCGGAAAAAAGACTGTTGTTGCGTATAGTGTTTCCCATCAACCGTCGTACTCCCCATTCTGGCTGCCCAGGGGGCGGCCCTGGAGACGGTCGGGCAAGCGCTGCCATCGGACTCCGCGCGGGGGGCGCCCTTGTAGCTGCCCTTGGGCGCGAGTGAAAAACGCCCCCCGTCACTGTTGCGTTCTCCCCCAGCCCTCTTGGCCAGGTGGCCTCCGGCTGCAACCCTCCAACGGGACTCCCGCGTCGACGAGACTCGAGAGGGACCATTTTGAGTGAATTGCTTGTTGCCTTGTGTTTGCGTTGCTGTGACCTCGGCACTTGCATCCTGAGCTCGAACCCCAGAAAGACTCCACGAGGGCCCCAAGACTTGCTGCGCCTAGGCATTGCTAAGTGCAGCAAGTGCGCCTGCGTGTAGAACGCCCCAAAAATGCTCCTAGACGGGAAGCCCCATGGGAACCCCAAAAAGATTCCACGAGGGCCCCAACACTTACTGCACTTAGGCATCGCTAAATGAAGCAAGTGCGCCTGCCGCTGCTATTGCTAGTCCTCCCCTCCTCCCTCATGCGTGGCGATTCTGGCTCAAGTGCAAGTTTTCGCTCGCAGATGCGCACTGGGTTCCCGCCAGCCCTCTACGTATTCCTTCCCGGTTCCTGTGTGTGGAGGCCCCCAGCGCGAGGCTTTGGAGCCCCGCTGATGGCCGAATATGGCCTCCAAGATGGCTTCGGATAGCCCTCCTGGGGCTTCAAGAGCTGACAGAAAGCTGGCAGAAACGGCGTCGCTGTTGCAGCGTCGTTTCTGTCAGCTTTCTGTCAGCTCTCGGGCCCCATTCAAGGCCCTCTTGGGGCTTTCAGGGGGCCCTCTTGGGCCCTCTAGGGGGATCCCGAGAGGGCTCCTAGAGGCGAAAACTGTTTCACACATTTGCCACAAACAGGTCCCTTGTTTCGGATGGGGTTGTGTTAATTTTGCGTTAACCTTCTTAGCCCTCTTGGAGCCCTCTTGGGGCCTTCAGAGGGCTCCAAGAGGGCCTTGGGGTTGATGTTGATGCAACGCGGGGCTTGGGGACATCCGTGCTCCTCTGCTGACTCGACTGCAACTCTTATTACTAAAAGAAGCAACGAATAGCAACAAAAAGAAAAGAAGGTGCCGATCCCTCCGCCCAGCTGCTGATGAGCCAGGTGTTCAAGGCCGTACGTGCGGCCTCCCTCGCCGCCTGGAGCCTAACCTCCTCGTCTGGGGGGGGCGCAGGGGCGAAGCAGGAAGGAGTGGGCACCTGGATTCGGCGACGGGCAGCCCGTCTCTCTTTCGCGAGAGCGCGCTGGGCCGCTATGCGGTCGCGCTGCTGCGAAGTGAGCTCGAGAGGGGCAGGGGGAGGCGGCAGAGGCGACGGGGGGGGCGGAGAAGGAAGGAGAAGCCACTCCGCAGCTTGCTCCTCTGGGGAGCCATGCATAAGATCAGCGTACTGCTGCTCCTCTGAGGCCTCGGCATCCTCGCCATGCGAGGGAGGCTGAGAAGCACGCCAGGGTCCGTGCTCGGCCACATCGGGGGAAGGGGTAGCTTCTTCCTCCGTGTCCGAGTCATCGAACCTGTAGTTCTCAGGATCGACTCGGTGAGACCCCCTACGCGAGAACCCCGCAAAGTCAGGAGCAGGGCTCTCCTGTGGAGGGTCTACAGGCTGAAGCTTGGCGTAAAACACAGCAAGCGATTCGCGGATATCGTCATCATCCTCAGGATAGTCCAGGTCAGCACGGGGCGGGGTGGAGGACTCAGCCGAGGAAAGGAGAGACCTGGCACTATCCGCGATGGCCGAGGCGATCGCCTGGCACATCAGAGGCGGGTAAGTCTTTTTAGACGCCGTGTAAAAAGAACCCGAGGCCGTTTTCCCAAGAAGGGTCTGGTGAGAGCCTCTCGGGTGAGAACATCTACCGCCTCCTGAAGTGGCCTAGAGGAGCCTGTCCAGGGTGGGCATGCGAACAGCAGGGTGGGCCTTGGGGAGGCAGGAGGGGGAGGACGAGGAGGACAAAGGGGTCAGCATCAAGGCGTCAATATCTTTGAACATCTCGACGCCAAGTTTTGTTGCCCCAGAGCAGGCCAACTCGGCTCAGGAAAAGAGAGCATGAATGAGTTCGAGCATCTTGACGACCAGAAGATTGTCCCCAGAGCGGGCCGACTCGGCTCAGGATAGAGCAGGGGGATGAGGAGGAGGAAGAGGAGGAGGAGGAAGAGGAGGAGGAGGAGCTTGTCCGCGCAGCCGCGAGGATCATCATGTTTGTTTCGGCCCCCCACACGGGAAGGCGATGGTCCTCTCCCGTCTCCCGATTTGTTTTTTTTCGGGCAGGCGTATTGTGTTATCGGGACGACGGCTGAAGAGCGCAAGAGCGCAAGAGGAGGAGGAGGAGGAGGAGGAGGAGGAGGAGGAGGAGGAGGAGGAGGAGGAGGAGGAGGAGGAGGGAGGAGGAAAACCATCCAGGGCCAACTGGCCCACATCAATAGATGGGTCACCTGGCCCTGGGCGGTTGCTCATGCTTCTCCCTTTCACTCGCATTTTATCTTCTCCACATCCGCGCGAGATCGTCGATGCGAGCGTGAACTTGAGATGCTGTCCTCGCTTCCACGCTCGGCTCTTAAACATGAATTTCGAACTGGAATTTGACATTTCAGAATGCTCTTAAACATCCGTTGCGCGGTATCCGTGCCGAGGCCACGCTATGTTGCAGCGATTGCGAAAGCGATGACACGAATTCGCGTTTATGCCCACACACTACATGAACAACCAAACAATAATCGAACGCGGTCCACACTGTGTACGCCCCCACAGCTGCGGACTGACGTGGGCCAGAAATGATAATGATCATGACGATGACAGTGGCGACCATTTGCGCGCAGGGGGGCGGGAGGGGGGAATAAAACGGTCGAGCGCAAGCCGAACGGACTTAATTCAAAGAAGTGGTTGCCCTTTTTGGTCCCTATGTTTGGCGGGCGAATAACGGTGTTATTAATTCTGGGGATTTAATAACAGGAGCAGTGTTTCTCACAAGCATCAGTGAGTCCGAGACGATGGGAGGACGAGGAGGATGATGAGGATGCGCGGCGACGGCTGGGCAGACGCCCAAAGTCGTCACATGCGACGCCTCGAGCGTTTCGGGGCGGACGAGGAAGGTGATGATGTTGATGAGGAGAAGGAAGAGGAGGGGAAGCAAACGCGTCCCGTGTAACAACTGTCGTCTTCTCGTCTCCAGGACCCCCCATGAGCCTCATTTGAGCTGTCTTGGGGCTGTCCTGGGCTCTTCTGGGGCAATGTTGGGGGTCCCTTGGAGCCTTCTTGGGCCGTCTTGGGGCCCTCTTGGGCCGCCCTGGGGTTTTCTAGGGGCCCTCGTAGCCTTTTGGAGGGTCTCTTAGGGCCGTCGCGAGGCCGCCCTGCGCCATCCAGGTGTCATCCTCGGTCGTCTTGGGTCTCTCTGGGCGCCCTCTTGGAATAGGCCCTTTTGGGTCCATCCTGGGCTGTCCAAGGGCCGTCTTGAGGCCGTCTTGGAAGACTCCTGGGCGATCCTGTTGATCACTTGGACCGACGCGTCGCCATATTGGATGCCTTTGGGTCATCCTGAGCCTCCGGACCTGCAAAAGCAAACTTAAAAATCCCAGCGGGCGCCAAAATATCAAGACGGATATCATTTCGATTTGAACCACATTTGAAACGCCCGGGCAATATTGATATTTCTGGCGCTTAAAATTTTTCTGCAAGAAATATGAAAAAATAACTGATATTCGGGTCCCAGGGCAGGCGGACGGATGTCGCCTGGCCTCCCGCCGCCGATGTCGACGCGCGCGGCCGCGGTTGGCTCGCGCGCGAGTGCATCCACCAGCGCGGCAACAGAGTCGCTCGACACCCGCGCCGACACGGCGCCGCCGCGGGCGGCGGACGTGGTCGCCACCTCGGCCTCTCCGGCGTTTTCCGCGGCACGGCGCGCCTGACAGCGAGGTCGAGGAGTGCCTGGTAAATACCCCAGAGGTCGGCGAACTGGAACTGGAATGCGATTATGGTTCCGGTTCCAGTTCGTCTCCAACCGGGAAACGTGGGGGGGGGGGCGTTCCAGTTCTGCTTCGGGTTCTGGTTTCCAGCTGGGCGTGAGGTCGGTGAACTGGAACTGGAACTGGACTGTTCCGGTTCTGGTTCCGATTCTGGTACCGATTCCCATTCCGGTTCCATGCAGTTCCAGTGCCAATTCTGGTTCTGATTCTGGTTCGCCTCCAGCCGCGAGAGGGGGTGGGAGTGCGTTCCGGTTCCCATTCTGGTTCCGGGTTTCCAGCCGGGCGTGAGGTCGGTGAACTGGAACTGGAACTGGAACTGATCTGGTTCCGGTTCCGGGGTTCCGGTTCCGGTTCCAGTTCCGGGTTTCCAGCCGGGCGCGAGGTCGGTGAAGTGGAACTGGAACTGGAACTTGTCTGGTTCCGACTCGGGTTCCGGTTCCGGTTCCGGTTGCGGATTACGGTTCCAATTCCAGTTCCAGTTCCGGTTCCTGTTCGGGTTCGCCGCGAGTGGGGGGGGAGGCGTCCTGGTTCCAATTCCAGTCCCAGGTTCTCCAGCCGAGCGTGAGGTCGGTGAACTGGAACAGGAACTGGAACTGGAACTGTTCCGGTTCTGGTTTCGGGTTCCCGGCTT